TTTGTAAATTAATACTATATAATTATATTGCACCTAGAGTTTGTATGTGTGCATGCATGTATATGTGTATTCCTTCTTGGCCCACCCAGCAATCTTGCAAATAACACACAAAGGTAACACAAGGTAAAGAAACTGAAGCTGCTACAGAGCTAGATTGAACAGAGACCCAAATCTTCTGAATATATAATCAGCACTTTCCACCCAGACAACTGTCTTCCCAGGCTACACCCAACCCCACCCCACCACAACCAAACAAGTTGTGGGGAGCTTTTTCTGCAATACTAACTTTACAAGCAAAGGTAGAGAAAAACAAAAAGTCAGCTTTAGTGTGTTTTTAGCACCTGGATGACTGAAGCAAATTTGACCTATTGTTCCCATAACTGCTTTAGTTCCCTAAATTCCCCTGATTTTTACTTTTTCATTGAACATTTTAGTTAGAAAATAATTATAGATTCACATACAGGTAAAAGAAATAATAGATTCCACATAACTTTACCCAATTTCCCCAAATGATAGCATCTTTGAAAACTACAGAATATCACAACCAAAATATTAACATCAACAAAGTCAAGACACCAAAGTTTCCATCAACCACAAGGATCCCTCACCTTGCCTTATTCCCCTAACTTTTAAATCTTGATCTTAGACAACATTTGGAAGAATAGTCATTAAGCCCTTCTTTAGTTTTTATTCACTCAAAATGTGAGAACTGACTTCACAAGTCATTAAAACAAAAAGCTTGATATTACACAAAGTATTGGACAGAATTGTCACAATACAATGTAGAATTCTTAAGTCACTACTATAATATCCTTTGCAGTGAGATTTTCAAGTTAACACTGAAGTTGTAGCTTTATGAATGAAATATTTTTTTATTTTAAATGATATGCATACTGCATGATTCCATTTAAATCAAGTCTTAGACAAAATTACTATGAAGTGAAAAAAAATTAGAACAGTAATTGGGGGGAATAACTGACGAGGACTGTATATGAGCTTTCTGGGAAAACAATTATTCTATACCATGGTAAGAATATGAGTTACACAACCATTTGTAAAACCTACTGGGATTAGGAACTTTTTTTAGATATGACATCAAAAGCACAAGCAAAAAAAGAAAAAGATATAAATTTGACATCATGAAAATTTAAAAATTATGTGCTTCAAAGGACACCATCAAGTGAAAAGACGGGCCACAGAATGGAAGAAAATAATTTAAAATGATACATCAGATAAGAAACATATATCCAAATTACATAAAGAACACTTAAAGCTCAGTAATAAAAAGGTCAATAATCCAATTTGTTAAATGGGGAAAGGATCTGACTAGACAGTTCTCCAAAGAAGGTACACAAAAGGACAATAACTACATGGAAAGATGTCAACATCATTAACAATCAGGGTAATGCAAATCAAAACTACAATGAGATACCACTGCATACCCACTAGGATGGTTATAACCAAAACAAGTATTGGCAACGATGTGGAGAAAATGGAACCCTCACAGTTGCTGATGAGACTGTAATCGGGTGCAGCCTCTTTACAACAGTTTGGCAGTTCCTCAAAGTGTTAAAACACAGAGGCATCACATGATCCAGCAATGCCACTCCTAGACATATACCCAAGAGAAATGGAAACACAGATCCACACAAACCCTTCACATGAATGTTCACAGCAGCCTTATTTGCAATACCCAAAAAGTGGAAATAATCCAAATGTCATTCATTCTAAAATGTAGTATATCCATACACTGAAATATATTTTGGCCATAAAAGGAATTAAATACTGATACATGTTACAACATGGATATACCTTGAAAACATCATTCTAAGTGAAAGATGTCAGACATGAAAGGCCACAAATTCTATGAAATGTCCAGGATAGGCAAAATATAAACACAGAAAATTTAACAGTGGTTTCCAGAAGGCAGGGTGAGGGAAGAATGGAGAGTGCTAATGGATATATATTTTCATTTTTAGGTAATGAAAATGTTCTGAAATTAGGTAATGGTGATGGTTGCACATATAAAAATCACTGAATTGTACCTTAAAACGGTCTGTAGTTTATATCTCAATAAAGCTATTTTAAAAGTGTAGAGTTAAGATTGGTGCATTTCAACGTATGTAAATTTTACTCAAAGAAAACTGAAAACCTTAAAAAAAAAAAGCAGTTGAGTGAGGTGTGGGAGTGGGTAGAGGTATAGATGAAACAAGCATGGATACCAAGAAGTTCACTATACTCTTCTGTTCACTTTATGGTCCAAATTTTCCTTAACATTTTTTAACTGACATGTGAAAATAACGAAGTAAAAATTTTTTTAAGTGTCAAAGCAAACTAACATCCCTTTTGTTTTTTGACAAAGGAAACAGAATCTTACATTTTAAAAAGACCAGAGGAGTTACAGCCTTCACCGTTTTTTGCAGAGATATGACAGAAGATATGGTGTGTGGTAAAAACGAAATATACTTCATCTTAAAAATGTACAAAGAGAATTTCAGTCTCCTAAACTCTGAGACAGCTCCTTACTCTTGGGTTTCTTTTCCACAGTCAACAGACATGACAATTCCTTATTTCTTTTAAATGCATGCAATAACCCAATACTGTACTGCTCAATATAGCAGCCACTAGCTACATATGGCTATTTAAATCTTAGTCTTAATGAATTAAATTGTAAATTCACTTCTCAGTCTCAGCAGTTACATTTCTAGTGTTCGACATCCTCGTGACTAATGGCTACCATACTGGACAGAGCAAATACGTATCACTGCCACGAGCGCAGAAAGTTCTATTAGGACAGCACTACTTCACTACATAAAAAACATCCACAAAGCAACTTCCTCATTCAAATTCAGAGATGTTATACTGTATTTTACTGCAATAAACAAATCCCGAAGAAAAAGGGAAACAAAGAATAAAAATATTAACCAAGGAATATCATTCGTGGAAGTTTAAACTAACTAAAACAGTCGTTAAATTTAACTTTCAGAACCACAAAGCTACAGATGTTGGCACTGGCAACTCCTCAGAGGCAAATTTCCTCATTTGTTAAAATAGGTAATCACTAAACCGCCAGTTTCCTAAAGTCAGATGTAAAGATTATGCTGAAATATGAATAAAGCAAATTATCCTTTCAGTCAAGGATCTAATGAATAGGTGTATTTATAATCCATAACATCAAAGAGTTTATGACCCACAACAAAACACACAGAATGAAATCCCTTCCCAAACTGAGCTCTAAGGCAACAGACATTATTAAGATTTTTAAATAGATTTTACTTCACTTAAAGAAAAGTTGTTACATCTAGAAAAAAGTCCTAAAATCGTGTGTGCATTTCATCCTTCTCAGGTATAGATTTCCGTTAATGCCCATTAACATGAATATGCTATCAGGAAACAGGTGCACTATCAATTCAAATACTTTAGAATATTTTTAGCACTTAAAAAAAAAACTGAAGGTGAGCAAATTTAAAGTGCTAATTCAAATACATTTTTATATTTAGGAAACAAAAAAGTATCACCTTGTATTCCCTTTCAAGCTATCACTACAAATGCTTGGTAGTGTGAGTAACATTCCAAATATCAAGAATAGAATGCTCTATGTCAAGAAATTTAAAATCAACTCCTTCCTTGCCATCACTTACTGGGCACCAAATGCTATTAGTTAAAAATGGTTTCACTTAAAGCATTTTCAAACCTTTGAAAAGGTCGCTTAAGAATCTAAGTATATTTTACTTTATACTCAATAAATACTTAATTTCACTGTCTTTGCAATCTGTTGCCCAAAAAAAAGGAACACTCAAGAAAGAATGAAAACAAGGAAACTGAAACCAGCCTCGAGGTAAGGCATACAGGAGGGTCACTATGAAATCTATCTGAAGAAGAAAGTTACTACTATCGGAGCATCTGTAGACAAATCAGGCACTATTTACATATTTCTAGTTCTGTACTGACCCCATATAGTGCTTTCTTATGTTATACAGTCCTACCTAAGTTTTCATATTGAATTAGCAAATGGGTTCTATGTTTTACCAAACTTAAATGTTTTAAACAACAAAATAACATTCCATAACACTTTCCCATTGCTCACAAACCCTCACTGTTCATCAAATCAACCCGATAAATTCATCTGTTACCCCTTGCTGCTTCCAAAGAAAAATTCTAGCAACCAAGAACACCAGATTGTAAAACACACCCAAGAGTGAAAGAGTTCTGGCACTACCAAAATACGTTAAGAAATATTGGCAAATAGTCAAACTCCCTTAAACCTTAATTACCTCAATTGTAAAAATGCGTAATACAAGTATACATTCTAGCAAGGATATGAATTAAATAGAAGAATTGCTTCAGATTTTTGGTGCACTCCAAATACAAGGTACCTCTTCTCCCATCTCACACCTTTCCTCCCACTACTCGTTAAGCTTTCAGGGTTTGCTCCCAGGCTCCACTTAAGTGTTCCCCTTATCCTCGTACTCGATCCTGCCCTTCTACTCTACCCCCATAACTCCAATTCCACACAATTCCACCACCCTCCGGTTCCAAGCGGCTACTTCTCTTTGCGCCCCCTAAGGTCCCAGGCAGCCCCTTCACTCTGCTCCCCACATCTCCCCCAGGCCCCCCGTCCTAACGCTCCTCCCCTCGATTCCCCACCCCCTCATCACCAGGTTCATCCTGCCCCTCCAACCGTCTCCCGCCCCCAGGTTCCTTCCTGCCCCTCCAAACATTGCTTCCCTGTCTCAACGTTTCATCTTGTTCCTCCAACCGACTTCCCCAACGCCCTGCTCGCTCCTAATTTAGTCTCCATTTCCTCCAACACCTACTGACTACTCCTTTCAATCCATTCTTTTCAACACATACATAAAATGCAAGGCACCCACAAACGCATACTGGAACCCCCATCCCCACCTCCATCCTCCATCTTTCCCTTTTATACTTGCTTCCTTTCTTCCTCCTCCCCGACCCCCACCCCCAAAGAGCCTGGTTCCGAGGCCAAGGTCTCTCACCTCATTCGGTCACTTCAGTGGTGCCAGCCGCTTCATACAGGAAAAAACAACCAATCACGTCCCCGTGGGCGCCTCCCCTTCGAGTTCGATCTCTTACTGGGCACCCGCCCCACCGGACACCCCGCACATACAAACGCACAGAGGTCCTGGGGATGAGGGTTGGGGGTAAAGTGAGCGTTCTTATACCGGCCTCAAACAGAGCCCACTTCACTACAGCCCTTCGCCATTTTGGTTTCCCGCGGACTGCCGGTGCATTCTGGGAGAGCGGGGCGACTCCGGTGCCGAATGGCAGCTCTCCAGAGCCGCGAGGGGGCGGGGACTGCGCGGCGAGCGCGGAAGAACACCGCGCCCTGCGTCTCCGACCACCGCTGAACAAAGAAGGACTCTTTAACGTTCGTTAAGGCTAAGTTCTTCCGCCGCCGGCGCTAACACAATAGTGAGAACTGCGCTCCTGGACCTGGGCTGTCTTACTGCTGTTTCTATTATGAGGGAAATCGTGGTGTCAGGTCTTCACTGTGTCTATTTTTTTCCGCTGAAAGAACAGTGTTCTGCCGTGCCGATTTCCCCTCCTCACCTTAAAGAATGCACATTTCTTCTTTCTTCACCCTGAGGCCTGCTGTTGACATTTTCTTCGGCAGGTGAGGAGAACCTAAATTGTCAGAATTAAATTTTGTTCAGCGATTATTGTCCACCTCTAGGTTACTTATTAGGAGCTTCTTACGTAGATTTTCGGATTTTTTTACCCTGACGATGAAAGGTTCTCCTATTTATCTGCTTTGCAGTCCTTACTAGTTCTGATGAAATCTGAGACTAATCCCGTGCAAAGTGGTTTATTTTAGGAATGCAGAACTTTAATACTAGGGCCAACCCCCTTAGCCTGCCAATATTCTGCTACCTACAGGGGTCCCAAGCGTCAAACTGAGACTACATACACTTTTTTGACTTTTACTTAGAGCCAGCTCCTCTTAGTAGCCGAGTGTAGTACCTTTGTTTATAACTTTATAAAAATATATAAAAAATAATTTTATGTTTGTCTCATATTACATCACAGGGATAATTAATGTCGTGTGTTTTCCTCTTGCTGAAAAAGTACCTCTTGTAGCCTGAACGCACTTTACCCTTATTTCAAAAGGAACTCCCTCAGCCTATGATCTCAGGATTTGGCAAATAAACATAATCATTTTTTCCACACCATTCACTGTTTTAAATATTTTTGTCCATACCCTTCCACTCCTTTGCTTCATCTGACTAATAATGCTACTCAAATTTTAAGTCTAATTTCTTACTACAGCCTTACTCCAACTGCTACCTTTCAAGTTTCACTTTCACTGAATTTAATGTAACATAGTTTGTCATAAATTAATCTTCAATACCTTTCATGCTTTAGGTTGAGGAGAGTTTTGACTTAAAGAGATGTAGTCCAAAAATGGATAAAGATATTACACAAACAGGTATATTTGCTGTGCAGCTAAGCATAATCAATTTGGAGAAAATTGGTCTAAGTTTTCAATGTTTCTCTAAAGGGTTCATCAAGCCTTAACTTCAACATCTTCAGTGATTCGATACGTCATAAGCAGTCATTTCAATTTCAGAAATGCTAATAATTAGAAAATTCTTCCTTATTCATATGTACAATCTGCCTTTCTATAATTTCCATTTGCTAGTCTAACATTTGGCCTCTTTAGCCACATGGAAGTATTCTAATCTCAAGGTCACTGAGGGAGTCACAGTAAAATAAAAAGAATACTTGTAATTGTGGTCTTAGAAATTTCTGATAACTAAGCCACATGCAATGAATTTGAATTTTTAAAAGAAACAAATATCAAGCCCCTCAGAAGTACTCCAGTCAGAATAAACAATACCCTTTATTTTTTGTTATTATACCCTTTATTTTTTTATACCCTTTATTTATTATTATTATTATTATTATTATTTATTTCTGTGGTAATCATTAAGGTTGTTCACAAAAATTTTGGTTGTCCTCTCTTCCAGACACATGGCAAAATTGCCCTCTCCTGCACCCTTGAAGTTAGGCATGGCCATGTAACCTGCTTTTACCAATAAAATGGGAGGCAAAGAGATCACTTCCTAGGAAAATCTTTACAAGGTAGAGAGGCACATTCTTCTCTCCTTGCTGTGGTGATTATGGAAGCATGTGTTCAGATAGAACATATGTTACTCTGGGTCCCTAAATGACTACACTAAGCAAAGACTAGAATTGTGCAACCACAGCCAATTTTAGAACATCACTGCTACCCCAAAATTATTCATTATGCCCATTTGTAATCAATCCCTGTTCTCATTCCCAACCCCAGGCAATCTGTTACCTGTCTCTATCGATTTGCCTTTTCTGGCCATTTCATAATAAATAGATTTATGTGATACACAGTCTTTTGGTATGGCTTCTTTCACTCAGCACAATGTTTCTGAGGTTCATCTGTGATGCACTATGTGTCAGTAGTTTTCTCCTTTATATTGCTGAACAATGCTCCATTGTAAGAATGTACCATATTTTATTTTATCTACTCACCAGTTGATGAACATTTGAATTATTTCTGATTTGGTGCTGTTATGAATGGTGTTATGAACATTTGTATACAACTCCTTATGTAAATACTTGTTTTTATTTTTCATGGATAGAGTTCTGGAAGTAGAATTGCTGTATTGTATAGTAAATTTACATTTAACTTCTTACAATACTGCTGAACTGTTATCCAAAGTGTGAGGGTTCCTGTTTCTCCACTTCACCAATATTGGATAATGTGTATCTTTTTATTTTACTCATTACAGTGGGACTGGAGTGGTTTCTCATTATGGTTTCAATTTGTATTTCCCTAATGGCTGGTGATGTTGAGTGTCTTTTCATGTGCTTATTAGCCATTCTTATATCTTCTTTAATGAAGCCTGTATTCAAAACTTTTACCCATTTTTTAACTGGGCTTTTTGACTTCTTATTACCAGGTTAAGAGAGATCTTTTTATATCCTGGCTATAGGTCCTTAATTTTTTCCTCCAGTCTATAGCTTGTCTTCTCATTTTCTTAATGGTGTCTTTTGAAGTACAAACTTTTTTTAATTTTGATGAAATCCAATTTATCTTTTTTTTAATGCCATATGCTTTTGGTGTTACTCTAAGAACTTTCTGCCTGACCCAACATCACAAAGATTTTTCTGTTATATTTTCTTCTAGAAGTTGTGTAGGTTTAGCTCTTACGTTTAAGTCTATGATCCATTTTGGGTTAATTTTTGTATACAGTGAGGTATTGGTCTATATTCATCTTTTGCATGTGGATATTCAGTTGGAGAAATAAACTTCTGTTGTGTTAAACCTCTGCAGTTTGGAGTTCTCTGCCATTAAGTATATTTTAGTCTACTCTGACTGATACAATCTAGACATGTTAATATATAACAGAACTCAATAATAATATTGAACTCTCTATCATAATTAGAACCAAAGATGAAGAGTATGAGAATTTGAGCAGAATATTCAAAACATTAGGTAATTCTTTTATCATTGAGAAGTCACAGGGAACATTATAAAATGCTGTATTTATAAACCTAGAAACTCCCAATTATTAGCTATTACTTTCTTGTAGAAAAGGGCTTTGCTGAAAGACTTTTAACATTGTTAATTGTACACAGATCAAAATGCAAATAATCAGACAAGTCACAGACATCAAAGAAAGACATTCTATATCCTTATAGAGTTTTCTTTTATTGGTCTGAAAAGAGAAAGATCTGAAACATAAAAAGGAAAATTAATGTTTCTATAATAAGCAAATCAAAAGGATTTGTTAAATAGCCTTTCCTTGTTTTCCAAAGCTTAAACATCCCTATATAACATAAGCACTGATTTTAAACCCAGTTATTTGTTGTAAAAAGTATGTATATCCAATTTAGATTCTTCATGTAATAAATTATAAAATATAATGTGCCCATTATCAATTTATTGCCTATTATTTCCAAACTCACCCTTCATTATTTTTTCTGTGAAAATGGATATCGACCCTTTAAAAATTTTTCCTTCACCAGCTGGCAGAATGTTAAGCCTTATCAGAGAAGAATGCTGGAAGACCATGAATTGTAAAGTGGCTTTCCTTTCTGGTTCCAAATTGCACCACTGGCAGCTCCTGCAAGGTGCATAACCTCCCCAGAACTGGGATCTTTTAGCATTGACACCTTCCTTAGGGCTGTCCTATCGTCCTCCCCCAACCCCAGACCCACATGCTGCTGGTGGGATTTGTGCTATTGGGCCGTCAGAAATTTAAGGTGAGTGACTGAAAAGTGTGTGTGCAGTGACAACAAATTCCTCAATTAAGAGTCATAAGAGCTAGATTCCAATCTCCACATACCCTGCTTATAGCACAAGCTTTTGAAGATTAAGTCACCAAAATTTGGGGGAGAGAGATGGGAGAGAGAGTGAAAGAAAAAGAATTATCCAACCGTAGGAAAGATAAGCTTTCTTACTTGCTTCACACTGCTAATCTGTCTACTGGGTTTTCAAAGATGGGGACAAGATAAGAGAGACAGCATGAGGTGAGGGCAGAGTAAGAGAAGTAGGAACCCTGGAGACTGATGACCTCAGTTGCTGGCCAGCCTCTGTCACTTAATTAGCTAAGTGATATTGGGAAAGTTGCCTAAACTCTCATAGCCTGACCTTTATGAGCTCAATGGGAAGGATGAGAATATCAACATTAAAGCTTTTATCATATGGATCAAATGAAACAATATGTGTGAAAATGCTTTATTTTTTTCCTCTTACAGCAAGTATTACATGCCTAATACCCCTGATTCAACTGCAAACTCCTTGAAGGTAGGAGGACATTACTCTTCCTTATATCCCTATTCCTGAAAACACATCTGAACTACAGAGCAGCCATTATGTAAATAAATTTTAAATGGGTATTTACTTACTTAGCAATGTTAAATATTTTCTTCTATATGTGAAGAACCGTGTTTTACTGTTCAGTACAGGATACAAGCATTAATAATACACATCCACAAAGTGGTCTGGAGAACTTAAAGTCTAAAGACAGTGACATTAATAAGCAATTAATATACAATACAAATGTATAGAGGTGTGATGTTCCCTGGGAATGGGAACAAATTTAGTGGAACCTAGTGTGAAGGATAAAAACAAGAAAAGATGGCTGGGTCTTATTGTGAGAGATCTCATAAGAAAAATGGTATTGGTCAAGACCCTTTTTAAGTGTAACTTTGTCATGATTGCAACTTGAGTAAGCCTTGGAGCAGCAG